TGTTGTGTTGTATAAGATTCACACCGGTAATTGTCACTTGTCCCAGTGATATTGATAGTTAAAAGAATGTCGTGTTGTATTAGATTCACACTGGTAATTGTCACTTGTCCCAGTGATATTGACAGTTAAAAGAATGTCGTGTTGTATTAGATTCACATTGGTAATTGTCACTTGTCCCAGTGATATTGACAGTTAAAAGAATGTCGTGTTGTATTAGATTCACATTGGTAATTGTCACTTGTCCCAGTGATATTGACAGTTAAAAGAATGTCGTGTCGTATTAGATTCACACCGGTAATCGTCACTTGTCCCAGTGATATTGATAGTTAAAAGAATATCGTGTAGTATTAGATTCACACCGGTAATCGTCACTTGTCCCAGTGATATTGATAGTTAAAAGAATGTCGGATATACTTGATTCGCAGTAAAGTACGAGTCTGCGATACTCAATTTTTATGACGTCAAAAGATATAAAGTATTGTTGAACGAGCTTATCTCCACTGTTAGCTTTGAACTAACAAGATTTGTGATGTGTGTATTATCAAATGTTATCCTTTTTTTTGTATTTTGAACTGATGTGTAAATTAGTGTTTAATCAGGTTTTTTTTTTCTTGCCATCACTTTAATTATTTCCCCAGACTACAACGTGGTTAGTGTTTTGACCGTTGCTCAGAGTACAAGGTATATTCAGTAAATATGACTACTACTGGTGTTTAAATGAGGTTTGATGAGTGTGCGATAGGAGATTGAAAGTTTCGCCGTTTACACGAGAAAAATAGCATAAGAACGTGTTTGTGTGTGTATTGACGAGTGGCTTAGCTAAGAAGATAAGGGTCCCGACTGGTTTCTAGTCTTATCTCAAAGTTTCTAGTCTGAAGCTCTGTTCTTTTAATGTGATCCAAGACAAATAAGTACGGCTGTCCAGGTAAGCCATTACAGCCTCGGTGAAGCTGGTAAAATATTCAAGCCTTGCACTGGAGTGGTTCCTACAGGGCAAAGCCGAGATTTTCTGAAGCTTAACTCCTCCGGGCTGGTGTTCCGTGACTCTCTCAGTGCTCCAGCTACCAATAGATAACACTTCTAGTGTCAGTGATTAATTCAGCTTTAATGACCTTATTTGGTATTGGTAGATATACTCAGCCAATAACCAGAGATCAGAATCCTGCAGACAAGTGTGTCTTGGGCTCAACGCACACACAGCAAAGTACCCCATGACATCCCGTAAATCATATAGTGGAGGTGTAATCCCACCATCGCAGCCCGTGTAATAGGACGTCTTTTTAACTCGAGCTGTCCACCACTCTGGAAGTCTGTCGAATGGAGTTAGTCGGCGACTTATCTTCCGCTCCGATCATATGACTTTTCTCCTTGATTTTGACAGGTGAACAGCAACCTAATCCACGCCCGATGATCTGCGTAGTCGGAAGGCTTTTGTTTTTCCCCGCTTATCACCAGGTCGGGCTTTTGTGCTCAGATCTCGGAAAATTAACTTTTAGCAATTTTTAAGATTTTTCTCCGGTAGTTGATGGGTTTAAAATACTCGAGCATGAACCTTATTACGCTATAGCCTCACTGGTTTGATCGTTGCCGGGATCCCACTTAATACCGGGAACGCTAGCTGTAATGTTAACGTGACAACTATAAAGAAACCTATTCGTTATCGCTTGTAGTACTCGCAGGAAAATAAAACGTTTATTCATGTAGCAAGCCATTCTACTGAACCGAACACATAATGAATAATAAAAAGACTCGTATTACGTTGTCAGTCTTTCCCGTTTACAGAACTTAAGTTATTGTGTCTAAAAGATTAGAAGTGTTTTTCTAGCATTCTGTATTTTGTTAGTGGCTACTGTGTCCTTGATCGTCGGGTAAATAACGTATCAAGTGGCTTCAGACAGCACTGTTTTAAACATACCTGAATTGATTACTACAGCGTAACGAGAGTAATTTATGTAGGTTACGAATAAATGTTAACAAACGCCAAGTTCCAGTTTTTGCACCACCAGTATATATATGTGTTTAGTCCTCAGTCCACGAGGTTCTGATTCGTTATTTCACCACTATGTAAATCAAACATAATCTCGCTCTACGTACTACTTGTTATTTGTTGCAATACCAGACCACATTATATGTCATAACTAAATAAATCCTAATCTCCATAGGTCTTGTTATTTGTTGCTGTACCAGACCACATATAGCATAACTAAATAAATCCTGATCTCTATAGGTCTTGTTATTTGTTGCTGTACCAGACCACATTATATTTCATAACTAAATAAATCCTAATCTCCATAGGTCTTGTTATTTGTTGCTGTACCAGACCACATATAGCATAACTAAATAAATCCTAATCTCCATAGGTCTTGTTATTTGTTGCTGTACCAGACCACATTATATTTCATAAGTAAATAAATCCTAATCTCCACAGGTCTTGTTATTTGTTGCTGTACCAGACCACATATGGCATAACTAAATAAATCCTAATCTCTATAGGTCTTGTTATTTGTTGCTGTACCAGACCACATTATATTTCATAAATAAATAAATCCTAATCTTCATAGGTCTTGTTATTTGTTGCAGTACCAGACCACATTATATTTTATAAATATGTAAATCCTAATCTCCATAGGTCTTGTTATTTGTTGCAGTACCAGACCACATTATATGTCATAAATAAATAAATCCCGCTTTACGCAGTCCTCGTTACAAATTTTACACCACCAGTCCATATGACATAGGTCTTAATATAATGATTAGTTTGTTTGGAATTATTTGTTTTTCACACTTTAAATATTTTAAAATATTTCTCTTATTATCTAGTTCATTGTCAGTAGTGCCTTTTTTTTATGATAATTCGTAAGTTTAAAAATATAGTGTAGCTTTGTTGGCTTAGTGTATGGATTGAGGACTGACCTACACCTTAAAAACAGCTTAGTGCATGGATTGAGGACTGACCTACACCTTAAAAACAGCTTAGTGCATGGATTGAGGACTGACCTACACCT